GCTGCAAAGCCCCAGCCACTCTGCTCCTGCTGCAGCGCCCCCCTGTGGTCAGTCGACAGCAAAATTCAACAGTCAGATTCCAGGTACATCCCAGTGTGCTGGCGCAGCCGGACCCTCCCCTTGCTTTAAGATATGCAGCTCCCTCATCCGACCCAATTTGGTCCTTGCTCTTTAGGAGGAGTTCTTGGACGGACGGACAGACAGACGCACAGACTCTCTCGATACACGGTAGATAAAAAGTAGGATTTAAGCCATTGCAAGTGAAAACAGGGAGATCAAAGAAAGTTCGTAAGCCAAAATGCACAAAACCAGCTAAGCCTAATGCACTGGGAGGCTGTGACACGTCTATTTCTTACCCCTCTGCTTGCTCTGGAGAAATTCCTCCAAGTCAGCGCGGATCTTTTCTCTGGCCTGGGTCCAACAGCTCCTCGTGTATTCTCCTGGGGTCGGGAGGCAGTTTTCTAAAGCCAGCTGAAGATGACTTGATGGCATCCCATTCCTTAAATAGAATTTCTGCAGGGCGGGAATATTTTGTTTAACCCGCCCCCTCCCCATGGAAAAATACCAGATTCAAGATGGATCCCAGCACTAGGTGGCTTGGTCACATGTCTTTGTAGGATCAACCACAGTTTGGGCTCACAGGAAAAACCAAACCATTTACAGATCGTTGTCTTGAGCGCTGGGCCATTAAGCCCCTGATGTACCACTAGCAGGTCTCACTGTAAATTCTAGGTCAGGGAGCAGGTTTGTACTTCAGATTTCTAGCTTCACATTCAAGAAGGATACGTGCACACGAATAGATTACACTCCTTCAGGGGATCGGGCTCTTGAATGAGAAGTTGCTTGACCTATTTTGCATAAAGCCTATTTGCATGATGCATATTCATGTTCAAAACCATATTTCCCTGCAAAAGGAGGTGACGTGTCACTGGTCTGGTCTCACTTGGAGCTAAAACATTCCCTGCAGGGGCCGAAGGCTCTGACAGACCCGACCCCCCGGGCTGAATTCCCCTGTCAGCTGTGGCACAGTGAAGGGTCTGATGGAAGCTTGCCCGTGCCACGTGGATAACAGGAGGGTGTCTGTTTCCAGGCCTGGGAGGCAGCATGGCCTAGTAGATAGGGCGCAGGACTGACAGTGGCTTTGAGTTCTAATCTCAGCTCTGTCATGTGCTTGCTGTGCGTAACCTTGGGTCCGCAAGACTCTCGTGCCTCAGTTTACCCTTGTTTGGGACAGATAGAAGAGGGAGTGCGTGAGACAGCCCTCGCGGGGCGAAGCGCCGCTCAGATCTAGGGCTGCGAAGTGACGAGTCTGGCACTCTTCTGCAGCACGAAAGGAACACGCCCTGCAGAAAGCCAGGCGAGGCTGCGAGGCTCCGGCGGCTTGCCTGCAGAGACGCGGCGGGGGCGTGGGCGGGGAGGGGGTGATGGCAAATCAGGTCCCTTCCAGGATGCTCTCGCTGTGCGTTTGCAGGGTGGGGGATGGTTTCCCTTGGTTTCCGGTGGTGTTTGCCGGGGGCCCGGGCTGGCCGAGTGGAATCTTGCTGGTGCAGCGGGTTTGGGGCTGGGTGGTGGCTCAGGGATTTAAAACGCCGCCCCGCTGTGCATGAGCCTCTTGCGGGGGGGCCGGGCCGGTGGAGGACGCTTGTGGGGTGTGGGGGGAGCTAGTGAGGGAGAGGCGCCCAGGGCTGGGCTGGCAGGACGCTGGGGGGGGGGATCCCTCTTGGCCACTTCTCGGCTGGAGAGGTTTGTCCCCCGTGCCGGACGGGGAGGCAGCCGGGCAGGTAACCCACGGGGGCCGGTCAGGGCAGGCTAATCTCCCCCCTCCAGCGTGAA